GTTCCAGTAAATCCAGTTAAATTATCAGTTAGAGTCGAGCATCTTAGCAGTTATTTTTAGTAAGTCTGAGCATAGTACTTAGTATTTGTTTATTTATATATTTTTACAGTTTGAGCAGTCAGCAGATCAATCAGCACTTACATTTTCAAATCCAGCAGTACATGTGGGGACTCAGACTGGGTATTACATTGAGTATAATTACAGATATCATGTTCAAGGTATGTATACTCAGTTTCCGCTTAGGGTGATGGTCAATACCGTAAGTCCATCCTAAGTTTAAGTGGTGGCTCAGATAGCCTTAATATTTCCACTGGAGTGTGCACATGATTCCGGCCAGTTTTGCCGGCAGATTCAGTATCAGTTTCTAGTATCAGTATCAGTTTCAGATATATACTGTTGATCATGATATTGTTATTATTATTGTTGTTTTACTTCAGCATGGGTTTCTGCGGAGCACAGTGACATTTAGTGCTCACGCCCCCACTCTTTTCTCTTTTTCAGATAACAGAGGTGTGAGCTCAGTTGGTGGTTCGTGGTCGTGGATCCGGCTAGCCGCCGTTTAATGGACTTTTGTGTATATATATTTTGCCACGTTTTAACTTCCGTTGACACTTACACCTTTTCGAACTTGCATGTCAGTTTTCAAATTTGGGTTCGATTTACCAGTCGGATCTTGTTCAGTATTACTATAGCGCCCCATTTATTTTAAATTATTTTTAGATTATTATTTATTTTGGATTATTTATTTCGGCTCGATTAGTTAATTTTTATGTGATTATATGCTCGTATGTGCTTAAGTGAATCAATTTTCTTATCGAGCTGAGTAATTAAATTAATTTTCAAACCAAGTGTCGAGCCGAGTCGGGCATTAAGCTTTGGCCACCCCCCGCGCACGTCCTAGGCCCGTGCACCCGCTCCCCCAAGCCGCACCCCATGCTCGCCCGCACCGCAAGCACGGCCCGCATGCACCACAAACCCGACCCAACTTCCCTTCTCTCTTTTGCATGCATGTGCATGATTTTTGAATTCAAAATGTAACCGTTCCCTTACTTAAAAATCTGATTTTATTTTCTTAGTTACTCCTCTTAATGACCATGGTAAATGCTTGGATGTTACTTTTGAACATTTTAAGAAGAGAAGACCCTCTCCTCTCACCCTCTCATTTTCTCTCTCACTTTTTCCTTCTCCCTCTACTCAAAATTCAGAATTTTTCCTTCTTACTTTTCACCTCACATTTTCGGCAATAAGTTCCGAAAAGCCCGTGCACGCCAAGCGTCGAAAAGCCCCGCGCATGCCCAACCAGCGAGAGCAACCGCAAGCCTGCTGCCCCGCGATGCACTTCCGAACCATTGACGTTCGACGACAGTCAGCGAACCACTGGAACCACACGACGTGCGAGCCGCCTACACGCCGAGCACGCGGACGATTTCCCCACCCCGCAGTGGATCGTTCATCAACCTATTTTTTTAGGTGTTTAGTAATTTTTACTAAACTCCTATATTATATTTTGTTATGTGCTATTGTTGGTGTATATGTTAGCTTTAGTAATTATTTGATTTAAATATAAATTTTATGTTATTCATTTTAATGTTCAAGATTGAATCTATAAGGTTTGGTAGTGAAAACCTTTAAGATTTGATCAAAACTCATGGGCAACTCTTGGATTATGGAACATCTTTTTGTTCTGAACACAATGACTTTGGCTTTGTGCAAATTGGACTTATAATTTTTGAGTTATGTATTTTTGAATATTATGTATCTGCTGGAACTTGTAAAATTCATGATATATCGATCAGGGGTCCAAAAATTCTGAAATTTTGTTATGTTGCTCCTGTGATGTATTTTGAATTCGTTTATAAATTTTGTAATTTTTGGAGTTGAACTGGTAGGGTAAATAATTATATGTTCATTTCGGCAGAATATTCAATAAATCATATAAAATAGAGTTTTCTTTATAAATGCATGAAACTTGGTTATTGTTCATATTTTATGTGATATATAATCCAGTAAAATTATCAAAAAATTTGGGATTCAATAATTTGAGTTTTTGGGAAAATTGGATTTTTGGCTGAATCTTGTTTCAATTTTCAAAAATTACATGTTGATGTTTTAAGTCTAGAATTTTTTTATGTTGCTTGAATCATGATGTAGTATTTATGGTAAAAATTTGAGGTCATGAAACGTTGATATCATCAGAGATTAAATTCATGTTCATAAATGTTGATTATTTTCAGTAAATTGTTATAAATGGCTCATTGATGTTTTAAAAACTGAAACTTTGTGATATGTCTTAGTTCAGCATTTATTATCAGGTGTTAAATTATTAGATTAAAATTTACTAGCATGGCTAGTCATTTGATTAAGTGCTCTACTTCTCCTAATTTCCCAAAATTTTATTCATATTATCCAAATGTGAATTTTTGTGTAAATTTGCTTATAAGATTTTACATTGTTACTGAATGTAATGTGTTTAAAGTTTTGGAGTTAAACTCTCGGTTGGATCTTGAGATAACCGAGAGAAGGCCTATGTAGTGCTGACCGCCAGC